ATACAGGGCGAATCAGTCGTTGAACTAATTTTTTACCCTATAAGAAAATTATTGACTTCATACTTAATTGAATTATAACGTGTGCAGTCAATTATCTTCTCATAGGGTAAAAAGCTGGTTCAACACACTGATTCACCCTGTGTGTGTGTGTGTGTGTGTGTGTATATATAGGATGTTTTTCATTTGGTGACACAAGTTGACACGAGTGTCATTCTACCCTTGGATGTTTTCCAGTAATGATACAATGTAACAATGTGAATTATTGCGTCCTTGTTGTTTGCCAACATTAAATAAGGAAATGATTCACTGTTACACTGTCATTGGAAAACATCCTTTGTTACACTAAATGTCAAGAAATATAGAATGAGACTTATGTCACTGAAAAGCATTCTCTCTATACAAAAATACAAATATAAAAAAATTTCACAAACCTAACGCGTTTGAGGACGATGTTTTCCGCTGTAATGTGCTTCCATACACCGTGCAAGTAATCTCGACAGATTCTCGCAGCGGTTTCCCTCATCTCGGGATTCTTCTCTGACATCTGCCACAAAAAAAAAGATATCACAATTAACTGCGATGAACGCTAAAAAAAAATCGTAACTTCTAATTGTAATTTCTTAAAGCTAGAGTACAATTTTCTCTCACCGGCTACAGATAATTCATCTAAACAATTACTTGGCGAGGAAGGTATGTAACAAGGGTAACCAAGAAATTGAGACGTGCGATACAGTTACTGAGATTGTTTGTCTGTTTGTTTGTTTAGCGAGGCATGAGATCGGATTTGTGATAATTATATTGTAGTGAAGCAAATAATGTAAAAGTATCATGCCAGAAGACGCGTCGTACGAAGATCGTGCATACGCAATCGAGATCATCTGCTGTTGACAGGAAAGCACAAACCAACGCATGCGTATGCGTCATGACGTCACGTCATTACAGTGGATCTCAACGCGCGTTGCACGGGCTGCAACCTTGAGTTTCTATCCTTGAACGATCAAAGCTATTTCCTAATGGGCTATGAATTCAAAATTAATTGTAAGAATCTCTGGCTTCGCAGACACGACAAATAAAGCATACGCAGAAAAACTATCGTGAATGTCGTTCTTAATTGCCGTTTTCTTATTATGAACGCAAACTCGAACCACTTTTACCACTCTTGACTGCGAACATATTGGTGGACGCGAAGTCCTGGAGACTCCCATATATTTTTAGATGTAAAAAAAAAGGGAGACGAAAATAATTGCTTTCCACTCGATGTACTTAATGCTGTACCTTCTTCAAGCTTCAATGTGTATAGAATCAATTTTTTCCAGTTTTTTCCACAGAAAAATAGCTCAAATAATTAGTCGAAAAATTACAAAATAAACAACAGGAGTCTTCATACACTAAAGCCTATTTCTATCAATGTAAATAAATTTTAATTTCGGTTCAACTTACTCTATGTTTTTCTAATTTTTAAAACTACGATTTAAATATAAGTTAAATAGAGATTAAAGTTAAAATAATCTCTACATTAGTATGTAGAAATTAATCTATACATTTTAGTAGAAAGACATAACTCCTTCAGCTATAAGTACTAAGCTTCCAAGGTTTAAGCATTTAGACGATCTTGCACATAAAGAGATTGCTATTTATATAATCTACTATTTGATAGTAGATATATATATACAAATACTAGTGTTAAGCAAATGTTTCGTTAAATTTTCTTTCTTACAATGTTTATTGACGAGTCATAGCCGTTGCTAAGTCTTTATGAGTGTATCAGAATTTCAATCGGAGTAAACATTTATTTTCACATCAAATTTTTCAGTCTTCAAGAATCTTCAGCAAATTGGACAATGAACATTTAACTTTTCATCGTAAAAATAATAAAATTAGTTGTTTCTCCTTGCTAATTTTGGGGGAGGGGCGCAAATGTTTCCTCTTTGCCTACACACCCATATTTATGATTCTGTATAAAAATCAAGAAACGAATAAGGTGTCGAAAAAGTGTTTGGTAAGAATCTCTATTTATGCGATATTGAGCATTTCTTGACCGCATTTTCGTCTCGAACGTGACAAACGGTTTTTATAATAATTATGTTCCGCTTATAGCGCACGAGAAGAATTTGCATTTCTCGCATTTTTATTGAGTCTCGAAGGAAGAAAACATAACACAGAGTTCGGAAGGTGCAAGTAATTGAAATAATATTCTATAGTTGAATTGTTTTTGCTTATAAAAAAAAATTACGCAACAGATAACAGATGAACGTCGATTAATTTAACAAGATTTAAAAGTATATAGATATATGAGTATATATGATTTTTTTTTATTTCAGATCAAATGACGTTGTAGAGAGTTAAAACGAGCCGATGATATCTCTACTTTACGCTTTTCTATCGCGTTAATGATTCATGCAACATTTAAGAATTTTTATTTTTTTTCATCTTCTACAGACGCGACACTTGAATATACCGGGCGTTTCACTCTTAAACCGATTTCTTATCTACGAATTTTTTTTACCTCTGATCATTTATCTATTTCTTTAAATTTCAACAATTTGATCAATTCACATAAAAACCATTAACATTTTATTCTCAATTTTTTTTAAAATCTTTAATTTTAAATCTCAATGATTTTATCAATACTTTCCACTTAGTGTGTAATTGCGTAATCTTTTTTAATAAGAAAGATGATAAAGGATTAGAATAAGATTATACAGACTTCGTGTTATTACTTAATTTGGATTCGATTTTCTTCTAACAAATACATTGAAGAACTAACGATTTTGTCGTTAAACGATTGCAAATGGAAAATATTTTCGAGAGCCACTTTCCTATATACTTTTCCATTTCTATAATTATCCATCCGTCTACCAACAAATTTATCGAACGAAATTTATATATTTCTACTCAGTATGTTTTAGTTTCAGGACAGATATAGATCATAGGATTAAAGTACATTTCGTCATGCGATAGGATTAAAGTACATTTCATCACGACATGTGCAGTTTTGGCTTTACATTCTGCATTCAAATGATAACATACATTAATGTACTGCGCACATTAATCCGTCTCTCTACCGAGATAAATAAATAGTCTGCAATTTGTGCGCAGTTCAGGAATTTGTAACGTCAATAAATGACCATAAGGTCTCAGAATCTGTTTTTATGATCTTCGATGTTTATCTCGACATGCTTGTTATCAAGAATAAAAACACTGCATATTTTGAAGATTGGATACGCACTAGGCTGTCATATACGATAATTTTTCAGGTATGTTAATTGGCTATAAGATAGAAAGATCCAAGAATCTCTCTATCCTGCAGCCAATTAACAGACATGAAAAATATGACAAATGTAATATTAGTCCTAGATTTCTAGAAAAATATTATTGTGATTATCGGATAGATAAGTGAAAATTGATAAGCGGCAATATTCTACGAGAGTGCAAAATTCATTTAAGCACCTTTCATCCATACACAGTGGTATGCAATAAATGTATATATTTCATCAGAAATATTTCATGATAAGTTATTTATTTCATTATAAACACTAGTGTAAACTTTTTTCAGAATTGTTATTGAAACACTTCAGAAATACTGAAAAAGTCTAGGTTTTTTCTAAAATTTCACGTGTAAATTTTAAAATATCCTAACATTTCTAAGATTCCCGCTCTATAATTTCTAATGAAATAAAATATGAAGTTTAAGGTATTTTTTTCAGAAATTATAGGATAACAAATTTTTTAGAAATGTTAGAATAATATTTATGAAGGATTCTAGAAAAGATAATGTATACTTTCTCAGTAATGTGTACTTCTGCTCCAATTTGTATAAAAAATCTGAGAACTTTCTAAAAAATTGTAAAATTATTTAAAAGTTCCAAAAAATTCTAAATTATATATAAAAATTCTCAAAAAATATTCACCGGAAAATTTTTTTTGTATTTCTGTGAAAGAGAATTCGCGAATCGAAAAGCGAGAAGAACGAGAATTAGAATGTAGACCTCTCTCATGTTGATCTCTGCATATTCCTCTAAACCTATGAAATTAGATACGTCGATGTCGAGAAAGGAAACGGAGAGAAGGAAAGAGGACAGAGAAAGCGCAATAATTAAAGGAGTTAGAAAATAGTATTAATTTTAACGGATCAATACTAATTAATTAAGATATTTTTTTAGCTTTAGGGAAATCGAGCAGATTAAAATGAAGTGGAAAAGTGCAGCAATTTTAAATCCCCCCCAAAAAACAGCATTAATTCCAATGAATAAATATGTACTTTTTAGCTTCGGGGAAATGGAGCAGATTAAAAATGAAGTAAATAAATGCAAAGTTTCAAAGAAACGAAAAACAGTATTAACTCCAATGAGTAACCACATATCTTTTTTAGCTTCAAGGAAATTCAGTAGATTAAAATTTTGAAGTGAAAAAACGCGGCATTTTAAAGAAACAAAAAACAGCATCATTCCAATGAGTAAATATGTATTTTTTTTAGTTTCTCGAGGAAATCAAGTATATAAGGTGGAAAAGCACGGCATCTTAAAGAATTGGAAAACAGCATTAATTCCAATGAATAAACACGTATCTTTTTTAACTCCGGGAAATCGAGCGGAATAAAAATGAGGCGGAAAAGCAGTACCTTAAAGGGTTGGAAAATAGCATCAGTTCCAAGACGGATAAATACGTCTTTTTTTCTTCAGCTTCAGAGAAATCAGGTAGATTAAAAGTGATGCGGAAAAACGCATTTTAAAGGATCGGAAAACAACACAGTTCCAAACACATATTTTTAACTTTGGAAAAATTAAACACATTAAATAAAACAGATTGAAAAGCGTGGCATCTTAAAGAATTATAAAACAGCATTAACTCTAATAAATAAATACATATTTTCTAACTTTGGAGGAATCGAGTAAATTAATGCTCGCTTCCACCAATGTAGATTAACTTTTTTTTTCCACTGGGAAAACTAATGCAACACAGATGCAATTAAAAGCAAATCGGTTTACATATTTTTAATATTAATAAGTAATTTAATCTTTTTAATATTATGAGGTTATCGTGACATAGAACATGTAATTTAGAGATGTGCGAATCAAGCATTTGTGAGGTCAAATCGAATCGAACCTTTGATAATATATTCTAAAACAAATCGAATAAAATTTAAAACTTTACGTCGAATCGAGTCGAATTTTTTTTATTCGAATAACTATCAATCTTGGTATATCTCCAACGAATAAATCCAAGGATAGATGTAAATCAGCCAATGCAAGCCAACACAGGTTAAGCATGTGTGAAATCGTATACTTTATTCTTGAGAAAAATTTACAAACGTTTCAACCTTTTCGATTGGGTCTTCCTCAATGTAAAAATAAAATCGATGACGTATAAATTTAATATAAAAGATACGATGCAAACAATTTGTTTTTTTATTCGAATGCGAATCGAATTCAAACTAAATTTTTTCGAATTTACATTAAAAGCTAATTTAAAAATATAAATAAAGTATTTTAAATAATGTTCCAGATTTTTTAAATAAACAAAAAAAAATCATTTTCAATTTATGAGTGTCGTGCATAAATAAAGTAAATAAAATAGGCAATTGATTCAAAATAAAAAAAATCCACTATGGTTTGATTTGATTCGATTCGAATTTGAACTATTTGCAAATCTTTGTAATTAAAATGTAATTAAAACGGTTAAATTATTCATTGATATAACAGAAAATAATTATTTATTAATACTATAAATTGATTTGCATTCAAATGCGCTCAATATGCACCAGTATTGCATTAGTTTTAATAGAAAACGTTATTATTCTTCATCTTCTCCTAACCCTTAGAAAAGTAAGTTGAACCGAGGCTAAAATTAATCCTCGTCGGTGGAAACGGGCATAAGTGAGGTGACAAAATAGTTAGGCATAAAAAACCGGTCTTAGAGCATCGGCCCTAAATGTATGTTTTTCTTTAGCATCGGGGAAATAGAAAAAATGCAACGCAAAAAGAGTTACATTGCAAGGTCGGAGAAGCGTTTTCCGAGAAGCAATTAAAACGGGATGATTAAGTCTTTAATAGGCGCATGTTATGTGAACTAGAAAAAATTATTTCGAACAGTTAGAAAAAATATATTGTATACTAAATTTTAATAAATAATAAGTTTAATTTTTAACAAATAATAACATTTTAACAGTACTAATATAACAGTTGTTTACGGAGAATAAATATTTGCTACAAAATAATAATTAAATCAAATTAATAATTCTTGTATAAAATAAATATATATTTAGTAAGTATTCAACTGGCACTATTCAAACAAATATTTACTAAACTTTATTATATTTTTCTCTCTATTTACGAAAGTTCTAAAATGTAGCGCATTTTTTTCTTCAGCGTCAAGAAAATCAGATAAAAGTAAAACGGAAAAACACAGCACTTAAGGAGGTTGTGCAATAGGCAAATGCAATATGTTAAGAACTACTTGAAAAAATTACAGACTATTCTAAATTTCATTTAATAATAATACAAAAAAAAACAGAAACAATTGACCATCTGGATCAAAAGTTATTTAAATAAGTAGTAAT